TTCCTTCCTCTCTTCCCTTCCTTCTTTCCTTCCATTCCTCCCTACGTTCCTTCTTTCCTTTTCTTCCCTTCCTTCTTTCATTTCCTTCCTTCCTCCCTTCCCTTCCTTCTTTCCTTCCATTCCTCCCTACGTTCCTTTCTTCCTTTCCTTCTTTCCTTTCCTTCCTTCTCTTCCCTCCTTCCTCCCTTCTTTCTTTTCCTTCCTCCATCCCTTCCCTTCATTCCTTTCCTCCCCTCCTTCCTCCCTTCCTTCTTTCTTTCCACTCCTCCCTATGTTCCTTCTTTCCTTTTCTTCCTTCCTTCCTTCCCTTCTTTCTTTTCCTTCCTCCATCCCTTCATTCCTTTCCTTCTCTTCCTCCCTTCCTTCTTTCCTTCCATTCCTCCCTATGTTCCTTCTTTCCTTTTCTTCCTTCCTTCTTTCTTTTCCTTCCTCCATCCCTTCCCTTCATTCCTTTCCTTCCCTTCTCTCCTTCCATTCCTCCCTACGTTCCTTTCTTCCTTTCCTTCCTCCCTTCCTTTCCTTCTTCCCTTCCCTTCCTCCCTTCCCCCTGCAATGCAGAGAGAGGAAAGTGGCCCCAGAGCCGCAAAAAACGCACCCACCGCTCCTCGCTGCCCATTCTTCCCACTTCAGAAGGGCTGCTTTCTGTCTGGGCTGCCCTTCCCCCCCTCTCCCCCCCACGGCCCTTACCTCCACCACCGCAAAGCCCTTGATGGGCCTGGACGGGACGGTCTGGCTGTCCAGGGACGTGACGGTGTAGAGAGAGCCCACGTCGGAGGCAGAGGCCGTCTCCCCGTTGTCCAGCTGCTCCCCGAGGCTCCCCAGGCTGCCCAAACTCCCGGTGCTGCACAGCGACAGGTCCAAGCTCTCCTGGCTGGAGACCCCGTGTGGCTCCAGCAAGCCGGGCGGGACGGCTACCTCCAGGCCGCCTTGGAACTGGTCCACGGAGATGTCGCTGACCGTCCGGGAGATGCCCTGCGAGCTGCAGAGCGAGGCCTGGCTGGTGGAGGCGGAAGCGCTGACGCTCATGGCCGGCGTGACGCTGCTGGAGCTGCTGATGTCCAGGCTGTCCACGCTGCTGGAGACCGCCGGCTTCTCCAGCTCGGTCCGGCACTCCCCGCCCTCCGCTTTGTCCTTGGCCTTCTTGGGCTGCTCCTCCTGCACCGGGATGTAGATCTCGTCTCTGAAGACGCCGCCGTGAGCGTTGCAGGCCTTGCGGATGGCGCTCCGCACCACCCCTTCCTCCAGGTGGGTGGGGATGCCCGAAATCACCAGCAGGCGGCTGTGGGCTGTCGCCCCCACCAGGGCCTGGCAGGCGTCCGCCACCGCGTCGTTGGTCACCCCCAGCCCCTGGGGGTCCTTCCTGGTGAGGTGCCGCAGGATGATGAGCAAGGTGAGGGCCCGGTGGAACCACAGCATGTCCTCCGGCTTGCTGCCCCCCATGCTGAGCAGGGCCGGGTCCGTGTCGGCCGCGCGGGAGGAGGACCGCTTCCCCGAGGGCGTGGCCTTCTCCCGTTTCATCTTCACCTTCTTCCTCTTGGAGAGAAGGCTGGGGCTCTGCGGGGTCTGCCCGGGGGGGGAGGAGGAGGAGGAGGAGGAGGAGTCGCTCAGGTTGGGGCCGCTGGTGGAAGACATGACGTTGGCGGTGATGCCCATGTTGACCGGCAGCGTCACTTCGGCCACCGCCAGGCAGGCCTCCATCAGGGCGTGGAAGTAGGTGGAGAACCTGCCTTGGTCGGCTCCGCCCACCCCTGCCCCGCCACAGGCGTTCCCCCCGGAGACCCAGCTCTGGGTCTCCTCGTCGTAGAGCTTGTGCAGTTCCGACTGCAGCGCCATCAGCATGGCCAGGCAGGGGTTGAGCTGGAGGGCGATGGAGGAGGAGAGGCCGGCCGGGCTCTTGCGCTGCTCCAGGCGGTGGACTTTGCGCAGCAGCTCAGCCAGGAGGTGGAAGAGCAGCTCCTTCACGCAGGGGGCCATGCTGGTGGTCCACAGGAAGTTCCCTGCAAGGGTTGGAAGGGGAGCCGGGGGTGGGGAGAAGAGACTTTCAGCTGGAGGGAGACGTCCTTCAGCAGCTCTTCCAGCCATCCATGTCTACATCCAGCTTTTTGTTTGCAAAAATATTTTTAATTTTGGTCTCACCCATCCATTCACAAGTAGACATTCTCCTAGGTATTGTTAATATTATATATTATCCTTTTAACATTTATAATTCCACTCTTCCCCTACAGGTTTAATAGCTTAATGGAGATTTGCTTCCCTGCCATCCGGTACATCCATCTTAAATTGCAAGAACCTTACTTCTTCTTCCCTCTCCTTTTCTCCTACCTTCCCTTCTTCTCTACTTTCTTCTTTCCTCCTCTCCTTCCTTCTTCCCCTTCCTCTCCCCCACTCTTCCTCCCCTTCCTGCCTTCTCTCCCACTCTTACTTCCCCTCCATGTCTTCCTCTCTTTTATCCTTTCTTCTCTTCCCCTCTCCTCCTCATTCCCTTCCCTCCTTCTGTTATTGTATGTACATATTTTCCTCTTCCATCTGATGTATATACGCCCAGCTTTTCCCCAGCATCAGCCTGATCCCTGAAATGGGCGTTATGCGAGACTCCTGGCTGGGAAGCTTCCATGCCGCTCTTACCTGGAACCCAAGTATGCTTAGCTCCAGCACCTGAGAGGTGTGGTGGCCGAGCCCTTGAACTTCACGGGAGCCCCAAGGGGGTTGCGGAAGAGGCCACGCCCACCCCTGGGCCTTCTGGGACTCTTTTATCACGCAGATTCCTTGGGCAGCACCTGGTGGATCCCTCTGCCAACACTGGCCAGGTGCCAATCCCTTTTCCCCCCCAGGACCTGCATCTACCATGCTGCAAATGCCTCGTGCACGAGGCATTTGCTTAGAGCAATGGACTCGTTCCATCACTGCCATTTTTCTCTTTTCAATTTTTTAAAAAAGTGATTGAATTTTCCAGCATTTAAAAGACAAAACACAAATCTACACTTATAACAGCTTTTCCATATCGGTATCCATATCTTTCGAGGTGGCGCAGTGGTTAAATGAAGCACTGCAGGCCACTTCAGCTGACTATTATCTGCGGTTCAGCGGTTCAAATCTCACCGGCTCAGGGTTGACTCAGCCTTCCATCCTTCCGAGGTGGGT